AAAGACTTCAGGCCACCTGACTTACTGTATCTTGAACTATGTAATTACTTCATTGAATCAGGTGTGCTTGAGGACATTCTTGCTGTTTATCCCAAATTTGCTAGCCCACACTGATTAGTCTTCAATTAGAATATGACTCCAATGTATGTGATCCACTGACCCATATATGCTGCTGGTGAATGTGATGTATTTCCTTCTTTGTGTACGAACCTCTGTCCTGCGTGGCAGTGAACAGTGGCATTACCCACATGAATCTGACCTATATATAGTGTCAATGAATATGATGCATTCTTTGTGTACGAACCTCTGTCCTGTATGGCAGTGAAAAGTGACATTACCCACATGAATCTGACCGACGTATATGTATGTATGTGTGCGTGTGCGCATGTATATGTACGTGTACATGTATATGTGTATGTATATACGTATATGTATGTATATGTGTGTGTGTGTGTGTTTACATATATGTATATGTACTGTCAATGAATATGATGCAACTCTTTGTGTACGAACCTCTGTCCTGCATGGCAGTGAACAGTGACATTATCCATATGAATCTGACCTCTATACATTTATAGTTGTTAATGAATATGATGTATTTCTTTGTGTGTGAACCTCTGTCCTGCGTGACAGTGAGAAGTGATACCACCCTCAGTGTCAAGACCTGACTGAATTACTCAGAATAGGCAAACTGTACTACAAGCTCTGCCAATAAATTTGTTAAACAAAAAAATCCCTGCACTCGTGGGGGTGGGGGGGCGTTGCTATGGCAGTAACGGGAGAAGGAGGAAGAGGGGGTGGTGAAGGAGAGGAGTAGGTGAGGTGGTGGTAAGTGGTGGTGATGAGGAGGAGAAACGAGAAGAGGAGCAGGAAGAGGAGAAAGAATTAGGTGAAGAGGAAGAGGTGGTAGTGGTGAGGAGGAAGAAGATTAGAAGAGAAGACGGAGACAGCAGAGGAAACAGCAAGACTAGTCCCAAGAAGGGAAGAGGTAGAGACAATAAACAAGGAAGAAGCGAGAAGACGAAAGAGTGGAAGGGGAAGGAGACAAGAAAAGTGAGGATCGGAAAGTGTTGAGTAAAGAGAGGGAGGGAGGGGGAGAAGGGAGGGAGGGAGGGGGAGAAGGGGAGGGAGGGAGCCTTACACGAGGTGGGAAAAAATACAGACGTGGTGCCAGTTCACAAGTGGTAGACCGGAGCAGGAATTTACTGAACCACATACCAGTAAGTACCACTTCTAGTGCCTGTAACTTGGAGGTCTTTATTATGCCGGAGCCTGACAGTTCTTTGATAATACCTGACAACTCAATGGAGGACAGTATTCTTTTTTTTTAAGGAGACTGTCGCCCTGCTGTCCGTCTCCTCTTTAACCTGTCAGCTGTGTGACACCAGAAAGCTGACGACTCCAAAATCTCCTGTGTTGTTTTACTGAGCATCTCTGGCGCCTTTTACCGGGTTGGGCAACAAGTTCTCCAGACAGTGACCTAAAGTGATATGGATTTATTATAACCTTACATTTCCTTAGTTACTACGCTCAAGGTGATGATCTAGGGATAGTCGTAAGCGCTGTAGAGCTCGAGTCACCTCACTGGGGTAATTTTCCCTCAGAGAGGTTGTGAATGTATACTTCACCCATCCAGTACATATAACTAGAGCTCATGTATGTGCAGACGACTGTACTCCATCGTTCTCCTATACAAAAGGCGCACTAGACCATTACCATCGATCAGCGCCACACAAGTCATGACATACAGAAGTTCATCCGAGAAAAGAGAGGATGGTCAGTTTTCATGGAGCCACGCCCACGACTGCGGATGATTGGGCACGCAACAGTAGACAACGAGGAAGTAGATATTCTTGAGGAGTAAAAAGCAACGTGCAGACTCTTGTGGGGACCTCGGCGAAGAAACCAACAATCTGAAGAACATCTTGCGCATACTAAGCAGCAATACCTTGCATATGAGGCACAAGTTTGTTTACATACAACTTTCTACTGGATGTCCTCAGTCTCTCATCCTGTCTTCGTAGTCCGGGCAAGGCAAGAGATCCTACACGATTCCTCATCTCAAGTCTGGACGTTTTGTACTGTAGCAGCAGAGTATACAACACCAGAGAGATTGTGAGGCCTTACTCTCATGTCCACCGGTACTGTACAGTATATCTACTCCAGGTTCCATTACTTCAGGAATAACGAGAGTAAAGAGCTTTTGGCATATGAAGCGTAATCAAAGGCAAATACAATTTCGCTGTACTGTGCCGCTCTCAAGAATATTGGAAAATTCAAGTGTGTTAACCAGCAAAAGCTTCTAGTTCGCTTAGGGCTCCAGCGACATTCTCTAATGGACTTTACTGCCTTATAGGTTAAGCCTTTAAAACGAGCTGATGTAGGATAACAAGCTCTTACCTGGTGAAACATGGGGAGAAAATGTTCCAATCTTATCCTTGTTTCACCCTTCTGACCCGTGTTATAACGTCCTCCCCTCCACTGTGGTGTATCTAGCAGAAGTATTACTGTGACGTGGTTGTTACAAGCTACGAGGCAACAGGAATAAACTCAGCCTCGAAATAGACCATTTTTATAAACATTATTCCCTTAGACCCCCTCCCCCCTCTCTCGGACTCCCCTTTCTCTTTGACTCACCACCCTTCCCTCTCTCCCTTATACTCCTCCTTCCTCCCTCTCTCTCTTCAGACTCCCCACCCTTCCCTCTTTCCCTTAGACTCCTCTCTCAGACTCCCCTTTCTCTCTCTCTCTGACTCACCACCCTTCCTTCTCTCCCTTAGACTCCCTCCTCTCAGACTCACCACCCCATTCTCTCTCTCTCAGACCCTCCTCTCTGACCACCGCGGGTAAAAGGCACCGACATTTACCGCAGTCTTAAGGTTTTTTCCATGAAAATGTAAAGGAAGCGAGATTAACAATTTCCTCTCCCCTGCTGGGTAAACCTGGCGCTGGAGTGGTGACGGGATGGTCTTATCACAGCCCGTTGTGTAGGATACAACTCCTTATACGGGGAAGGAAGGGGGATCTTGTTAAATGTTTTGTAAAAGAGGGTAATAAAAGGATTATTTGGTTATGATATTTCGTTGTTTTTGTCTTTGTTTTCTGGTAAGAATAATACCATCTGTATCGTTCTTTATTTTATTTTCGTAGAGTTTCATTATCATATATTTTTAATAGAATGTCGGTGTATGAAGGTAAAATAGTGATAATCATTGTTGGAGCTTCTTCCTTACTGTACTGCACTGTACTGTACTGTGTGATTCCCCACGCCAGCGAGTCTGCTACAATGCCTCTGGTCCCCGACCATCTGTTCTATACATAGATTTTGTCTGGCGGGCTGTGCTGTGGCGCTCAGGAAGGGAGGGAGGGAGGGGGGCCAAGAAGTACGGAAAAGAGAGGATCATCAAACATTCACTGTCACTCGTCAGCTAATCTCGGGTCATATTTATAAAAAATTTCTCGAAAACATCGACACGTAAAACAGTCAACATGTAGTTTTATCTTGTCTTGTAATATCTTAAAAAAATCAACAATGTAATCTATTTTTACGAAGCTGAAATATTTATAGCTCTGTCAACTTAGAATGTCTTTTATTGAAGTCAATTTTATATCGAAAATGATTCGTCGTGAAATGAAAAATTGCCTCAAACGTGACGCCTCATAAAAATTACAGCATTCATTCTAGGCCGAGTGGGAGAAAAATAATTTAGCGTGGGGTTCTTTTTTAAACTTAATCTAGTGTGAAGGTTGTCATGCCACGCCTAATGACCATCATTAGAAAGCTAGTTTGAATATATGTTTGAGTTGACAGAGCTAAAAATAGGTCAGGTTAAAAGTTCCAGATAATCCTCAGGGACTTGAGGACGACACCGCCTCCTGTTATTGAGATAAACAACACAAGATGGCGCCTCACCTTCCCCCTTGACACACGATATCCACAGCTTGTTAGAGACTCAGGCCAGACCTCACAACCCATCGACAGCTCTCTATGGTATACGCATTTTATTTACCCTTGCTTTCACTTTCTTTTCTTATATATATATATATATATATATATATATATATATATATATATATATATATATATATATATATATATATATATATATATATATATATATATATAAGTAAATCACTGTATGTGCGCGTGATCTAGGTATATGCTGATAACCACAAGGAAAGAAGAAAACACGAAGTTCCCAGCGCTTTCGTGTAATTCACATCTTCAGGGGTGAGTACAGACTGAGTACAGTCTGTACTCACCCCTGAAGATGTGAATTACACGAAAGCGCTGGGAACTTCGTGTTTTCTTCTTTCCTTGTGGTTATCAGCATATATATATATATATATATATATATATATATATATATATATATATATATTTGGTGAAATTTTCTTCATTCCTTTAACATAACCTAACCAGACCTAACGCTAACCTGACCTAACGTTGACCTGAAGTGACCTGACCTAACCTAACCTGACCTGACCTGACCTAACCTCAGTAATGCTCTGACGCCACACAAAATTGGGGGCTTTAGATATTCATAAATGTCTAATAAGAATAAACTGATATATAAAATCGGGGAAAAAATATGATTGGCTCTGGTATGTTGGAGTGGACGTGGCTCTGGTATGGTGTAGTGGACGTGGCTCTGAAATGGTGTCGTGGACGTGGCTCTGGTATGTTGGAGTGGACGTGGCTCTGGTATGGTGTAGTGGACGTGGCTCTGATATGGTGTAGTGGACGTGGCTCTGGTATGTTGTGGACGTGGTACGTGGCTCTGGTATGGTGTAGTGGACGTGGCTCTGGTATGGTGTAGTGGACGTGGCTCTGGTATGTGTAGTGGACGTGGCTCTGGTATGGTGTAGTGGACGTGGCTCTGGTATATGAGACGTGGCTCTGGTAACGTGGCTCTGGTATGGTGTAGTGAACGTGGTTCTGGTATGGTGTAGTGGACGTGGCTCTGGTATGGTGGTGGACGTACGTGGCTCTGGTATGGTTAGTGGACGTGGATATTGAACGTGGCTCTGGTATGGTGTAGTAACGTGGCTCTGGTATGGTGTAGTGACGTGACTCTGGTATGATGTAGAACGCTCTGTATGGTGTAGTGGACGGGCTCTGGTATGGTGGTGGACGTGGACTCTGGCGTGGCTCTGGTATGGTGACGTGGCTCTGGTATGGTGTTCTGGTATGGTGTAGTGGACGTGGGTAAATGTGATTCTGGTATGGTGTAGTGGACGTGGCTCTGGTACATGTGTAGTGGACGTGGCTCTGGTATGGTGTGTAGTGGACGTGGTCTGGTAGTGGTGGCCTGTATGGTGTAGTGGACGTGGCTCTGGTATGGTGTAGTGGACGTGGCTCTGGTATGGTGTAGTGAGTGGCTCTGGTATGGTGTGGACGTGGCTCTGGTATGGTGTAGTGGACGTGGCTCTGGTATGGTGTAGTGGACGGGCTCTGGTATGGTGTAGTGGAAGTGGCTCTGGTATGGTGTAGTGGTCGGCTCTGGTATGTTATAGTGGACGTGGCTCTGGTATGGTGTATTGAACGTGGTCTGGTATGGTGTAGTGACGTGGTCTGGTATGGTGCAGTGGACGTGGTTTGGTATGGTGTAGTGGACGTGGTTTATGGATAGTGTACGTGGCTTGGTACAGTGTGTGGACGTGGCTCTGGTATGTTGTAGTGGACGTGGCTCTGGTATGGTGTAGTGGACGTGGCTCTGGTATGGTGTAGTGACTGGTGGTGTAGTGGACGCTGGTAGCATGTGGTGACGGGCTCTGGTACACTGGTATGGTGTAGTGTGGACGTGGCTCTGGTATGGTGTAGTGACTGGTGGAGTGGACGTGGCTCTGGTATGTGTAGTGGACGTGGCTCTGGTATGGTGCAGTGGACGTGGCTCATATGTGGACTGGCTCTGGCGTGGTGTTGTGGACTGGACGTGTGGTAGTTGTATGTGGACGTGGCTCTGGTATGGTGTAGTGGTCGTGGCTCTGGTAAGGTGTACGTGGCTCTGGTATGGTGTAGTGTTATGGTGGACGTGGCTGGTATGGTATTAACGGTTCTGGTATGGTGTATTGAACGTGGCTCTGGTATGGTGTAGTGGACGTGGCTCTGGTATGGTGTAGTGAAGGTGGTGGATGGTGGCGTGGCTCTGGTATGGTGTAAGTGACGTGGCTCTGGTATGGTGTAGTGGACGTGGCTCTGGTATGGTGTAGTGGACGGGTATGGTGTAGTGGACGTGGCTCTGGTATGGTGTAGTGAACGTGGCTCTGGTATGGTGTAGTGTACGTGACTCTGGTATGGTGTAGAACGTGTCTCTGCGTGGCTCTGGTATGGTGTAGTGGAATGGTGTAGTGAATGACTGGTATGGTGTAGTGGACGTGGCCTGGTATGGTGTAGTGGACGGCTCTGGTATGGTGTAGTGAATGTGATTCTGGTATGGTGTAGTGGACGTGGCTCTGGTATGGTGTATGACGTGGCTCTGGTATGGTGTATTGGTGTATTGACGTGGCTCTGGTATGGTGTAGTGAATGTGATTCTGGTATGGTGTAGTGGACGTGGTCTGGTATGGTGTAGTGAACTCGTGGCTATGGTGGTGAACGTGGCTCTGGTATGGTGTAGTGGACGTGGCCTGGCGTGTGTAGGCGTGGCTCTGGTAGGTGTACGTGGTATGGTGTAGTGAACGTGGCACTGGTATGGTGTAGTGGACGTGGCTCTATTATGGTAAAGTGGACGTGGCTCTAGTATGGTGTAGTGGACGTGGCTCTGGTATGGTGTAGTGGACGTGGCTCTGAGGTATATGACAGGATTCGGGTACGGAGGCCGAGTGGATATACCTCTCACCTACTGTCCTAAAGGTCGCTGGTTCGATCCCGGGGTATTTAAAGTCCACCCATCTGTCTCCTTGTGTACCAACGGTTTAGTAACCAGTGAGTTATAGGATTCAATATAATAAATTACACTCGTATGCATCAGAGCCTTACTGAATGTTTGTTGTTTATCCTCAATAGTAAAACATTCAAGAAAATTCATATCAGGATAATTGAAAGACTAAATACAAAGACATAAGTAGACTAGATGACTGCTCCTCACTCGACAACAACTCGACATATGAAGATAATAATTTGCATATGTCGAGGCAGCCAGAGTGACGCCGCGCGGTGGGACCCATCACAGCCGCAAGTCTTGGGCCACATCCAAGCCTCGCCTTCCCGCCATCACTGCTTGGTTCCTTTTCTTTCATGTCGTCAGTCCTAGTCGTTACTTTACTCTCTGTTGGCTTCTGTCGTTGGTTCATCATGGTGGCTGGTTCTCTTCACCTGTCGTCGCCATGCTCGATGCCTGTTCTTCACAGTGGTTGTCGTTAGTGTTTCCCTGTGGTAGGTTCATGTTATTGGTCGCTGTCGTGGTAGCTCAAGAGTACTGTACCAGCCATCGATTATTCTCACTCTTGGGTTGGACTTGTCGTCCACTGTGTCCTCCTCCGCATCCTTCACTGATTCTGTAATGATTATTGTTTGGTCGGTGTGTGTGTGTGTGTAAGTTTATGTCTTTAGCCACTGTTGTACAGCCATTCCTGCCGTTGGTTTTTATGACTGGTTCTTGTCGTTGGTCTCCGTCATCGGTCACTGCTGTGGGTCGATATAAACGGTCCTTGTTATCTGTCAACGTCGACGGTCGCTTGTGATGGTCTTCCTCGTAAATCGTCGTCAGGGGTCGGTGTGTACTTGTACCGGGGAGTGTTGTTTCCGCTACAGGGAGGAGGAGAAGGGCGGAGCGGTTGCCGACTCCCCTTGTCATCAGGGAACACGGAATTGTCACTATCACACATGAGAACGGGAGGCAGTAAGTACCCTCATAATACCAGAAGATAAATGTGTTGAATTAAACACGAAAATACTTTGGACAGTTTAACGCTCACGTACCCGATGGGCAGTGTAAGACTGTCAGTGTAAAAATTTCAATTTTCACCTCACATAAAATTATGGCAGATCTCTGGGTGGTTATCGGAGAGTGGGAGCTGCCCAGGGAACAACGGTGAAGTTTTTTGTCTCTCACGGCCTTGGCACTGAAGCGATAAAAGTCTCAAACTCCATCGACGGAGACACAACACACAAGTTAAATTAAGTTCTTTACTGTCGCCTCTCCTGCCAGTATTAATGGTGGTATTGAGACGACTGTTTTGGTGTTGTGGTGGTGAGAGTGTCGGGGGTTGATGATAATGTTGTGGAGGTGACAGTGAAGATGATGTTAAGGATGGTACAGTATAACATGTACCTCAACACACACACACACACACACACACACACACACACACACACACACACACCCACATACACTCAGGGAAACACAACAAGACACTTTCCTGAGACACCTTCATGACGCCCCCACTACGGCCGGGTCCAGGCTATTTTTGGGTCACTTAAAGACGTGGAGCCTAGGAGCTACTGTACATCTTCACTCATATAATTTAGGGCCAAAAGAGAGATAAAATCAGTATTATATAAATCTTTATGGATCACATGAAGATTAATTACCCTAACGCTAACCTAACCTATAGTAACATAACATAATCTAACCTAACTTAACATGAATTAAAGCTAACCTAACCTATCGTAGCATAACCTGACCTAACTTAACATAACTTAACACTAACCTACCGGACCTAACCTAACGCAACATTACTTAACGCTAACCTAACCTACAGTAACTTATCGCAACATAACCTGACCTAACTTAACATGACCTAACGCTAACCCGACCTAACCTTACCGAAACCCCCAAGGTCGCGTTATGGTGCTTAAACATTAATTGACACAAGCAAAAACATGGGGGTTAATTTTCATGCGATCCATCTTTATATAATAGTTACAGACGTGAGTGTAATCAATGTGAATTAAGTAAGAGTTAAGTAAATGAAAATTGAATAGTTATCCCTAAGACTTCCATGTAAAACAGAGAGAGAGAGAGAGAGAGAGAGAGAGAGAGAGAGAGAGAGAGAGAGAGAGAGAGAGAGAGAGAGAGAGAGAGAGTACAGGGGGTCATCACAGCTTCTGACGAGATATCAGTGCTTTTATTTTCTCTATTTTCTTAAGGAAGTGGAGAGGTAAGAGAGAAAAAGAAAAATTCACCATAGCAACGACATTTGCTGTTAGGCATTCACTTCTGAGCACCAGTGTGTGTGTGTGTGTAAGAGTAACTAAAAAAAAGAAAGAATAAAGGTAATAAGACCAAGGAGGAGAAGAGACACATCACTGGACGGGGAAGTAATAGCTGAGAATTTTTCCTGACGGCGGGAAATTGTGGTGCAGGGGCGAGATGAAGGCGGATAGTGGGGGAAGATGGAGAGAGAGGGAGAGAGTGAGAGAGAGGGAGAGAGAGTGAGAGAGCATCTTCGGTATTCAAAGAAAATTTAGCATGACAATACGTGTATAGCAGGAAGAGACAATCCCAGGGGTCAAGACAACCTCACCCCGACACAGCTCCCCAAAGACAACCTCACCCCTCACAACTCCTCAATGACTACCTCACCCCTCACAACTCCTCAATGACTACCTCACCCCCTCACAACTCCTCACAGACAACCTCACCCCCTCACAACTCCTCAAAGACAACCTCACCCCCTCACAACTCCTCAAAGACAACCTCACCCTCACAACCCTCAATGACCACCTCACCCCCCACAACTCCCTCAAAGACAACCTCAACCCCCTCACAACCCTCAAAGACAACCCCACCCCTCACAACTCCTCACAGACAACCTCACCCCTCACAACCCTCAAAGACAACCCCACCCCCTCACAACCCTCAATGCACCACCTCACCCTCACAACTCCTCACAGACAACCTCACCCTCACACAACTCCTCAAAGACAACTCCTCACCCCCCTCACAACTCCTCAAAGACAACCTCACCCCCTCACAACCCTCAATGACTACCTCACCCCTCACAACTCCCTCACAGACAACCTCACCCCCTCACAACTCCTCAAAGACAACCTCACCCACTCACAACCTCACAGACAACCCCACCCCTCACAGCCCTCAAAGACAACCTCACCCCCTCACAACCCTCAAAGACAACCTCACCCCTCACACAACTCCTGAAGACAACCTCACAACCTCCTCAAAGACAACCTCACCGCCCTCACAATGCAGTTTTAACTCATCAACATATTGGCTTAAGCCTGGCCAAGAAGTTCATAATAATAGCCACACCACTGTTCCACAACACATAACCCAATTATTCACAATAATGGCTACTACACCACTGTTCCACACTTAACACACTACACCACTGTTCACAATAATGGCCACTACACCACCAATAATAATCATCACCACCACTGGGGTTCACCAATAAATTATCACCAACACCACTAATTCACACATGGACACTCAGCACCACCGTTCACACAATGGCTCACACCACTGTCTGCTAATGGTCACTACACCACTGTCTGCCACAATGGTCACTAACACCACTGTTCACAATGGTCAAATACTACACCACTGTTCATAAAATGGTCACTACACCACTGTCTGCCACAATGGTAACTACACCACTGTTCACACACGGTCACTTCCAGCACCGTTCACACAATGGTCACTTCACCGTCTGCCAATAAATTTAACACACAATTCACTGTTCACCAATGGTCAATTAACTTCCGTTCGCAATATGGTCACTACACCCACTGTTCACATAATTTAACTACACCCCACCACATTGTAATGGTCACGCACCAATGTTCATTAATAATG